ACATGGTCTGGTCACAGGCGTCTGCAAATAATCAGCAAGAGCCCACAAAATATCCAGACACTTTGAGACAGTAAGATTCAATGGAGCAAAATTTTAAGCTCTCTTCCCTTAATGAGAACTCAGAAGACAGAAAACAACCTGGGAATAATTATATGTGGAAGATGCCTGATTTAGAGAGAAGACTTTTAAAGAAAAGAAGAGAAAGCAGATGTGGGAAAACTAGATCACTTCATGATTTCAGAGTAGGAAGTCCTCATAGGACCATGTTAGCTTTCTCAAGGAACCCCTCCCCCAAACAGATATTTGGCCTGTGGATTCATCTTGAAGAGTGAATGAAGATTAAAAGTAATCTTTGCCAGCACTTATGTAGCACTTGCTGTATGCTTGAATCACCCTTCTTCAACAGCACTATGAAGCCAAATGTGCTTCAGTACTTGCTCCAGCTCTCCTTTGTCATACTCTCTTGTGCCTCAGTGTCCTCATCTGTGGGAATAATACTATTGCCTACCTCCCCAGAGCGTATGCCTGGCCCATAATGATGACTCAATGACCGTGAGCAGAAATGACCTTTACGTAGTTATTACCCTTCCTCTCAGGGAAAGGTTAACCATTCAGCCGCTCTGAGGACACTGTGACATATATGTGATCATGGACAACATGGCTATGGCCCATTTCCAAGGGTTGTATATCTTCTCAGGGTCACATTCGCTGGCCAGAGTGGGTCTTCAGCAGCATTCCTGTTGGTATTAGAAAAGATAGGTGAGAGCTTTTCAGTATTCAGAAAGAATACATGTAGTCTAGGGCCCAATTTCCCCAGGATCACAGTTCCAGGCTTAAGCCCATGCTGTCTATAAATCAAGGACCTGCAGGTCAGCAGAATGAGGTGGTAGAATGTGACCATCAGGACCAGGGCAAACCGTGGCTGTGTTAGTTGTGAGGGCCTCTAATCTTGGTCTGTGCTGGTTTGGTTAAAAGCCTAAATAGTCCCCTGATCCCCGCACAAACCACCACAACCACCACCACCACCACTATGGGCTGTCCCAGTAAGCTGTTTCAAGACCGACCCCGTGCTAGCTTCAGAGGGAAGCAGTCTCTTTCAGGCACAGTAGTTAATAGGAAATGCTCCTCTCAGAGAATTCCCCACTGACTGAGAGGAGCATTTCCTATTAACATATGCACATGTGTGTTTTGTATGTGGTGGGCTTGGGGATGGAGGACTGTTTTCCCAAGCCTCCTTTGTGTAAAGGGTTAATCACTATTGTTCTCCAGGCCCCTTGTCCTCTTGGTTCCTCCTCCCAAGGGGGTGTTGAGATCCTGCTTTGTACAGCTCTTCTACCTTCTGTGCAATACCCTCCAGTATCCTATTCTTGGGTTTTCTTCAGGTTTTGTAAAATGTATCATCAAAAGACCTCACATTTTCACTGAACTTTTTAAAAACGGCTTTTGGGTTTCGTCAGGCTATCTGAAGGCCCCGGATCAAGTGGGTCACTCCTTTGCAGTGGGACTGGGAATCCACTCACCCACCCACCCCCTCACTTAGGCACTAGCACAGTGGTTACTGAGCACCAAGTGGTGGTCCGACAGTGCGCTGCGCCCTGGAAAGACAAATAAGGCAGCCAGCTCCCCTCTCCTCGCGCTAGGTGTTTTTTGGGGCTCACACTTGGCCTGCAGTCAGGACTAGCACCTAACGGGTCTGCTGCAAGGGAACCATGAATGGGCTCTAAAATTGTGGTGGGATGGGGGAGCAGGGGCCACCTGTGGTAGCCAGGTAAAGACCAACAGAAGGTGCAGACTGCTTCACCCTCTGCTCCCTAATCCAGAAAAAAAGGCGGAGGGGAATCGTTCCCTAACCTCAGCACAGAAGAATAAGGCCTAACGGCCTTTAAACACCCTAAGCCCTACGTCTAATACTGTGTATTTTCCAGCCACGCCTGGAGGTTTGGAGGATGTCCCATAGAGGGCGCCGTTTGCCGGACTTTGGATGGAGTCCAGGGCACATCCGAGCAGAAGCCACATCCCTCGCCAGAGGGCGAGGGAACCTCTGCGTTCGAGCTCAGGGCTCAATATTTGAGCTTTCTGGAAGCGAAAGAAAAGATCTGCTGTACAAACGATGCTATCCAAGCCCAGCATCCCAAACTCAGAGGATGAGCTGAGGATACTGACACCTAAAAAGTCCTTTCCCTGGTCAAAATGTGCGCGCGCGCACACTTACACTCAGCAGCGCACCTACGCGCCACTTCAGAGGAGACACTGTTGGGCGACAAAGGAAAAGTGAGGATTGGGAAGTCGCGCGGCAGGGGCCAGAGACGGCAGCCCTGTATCTTTCTTTTGCCAAGGAAGGCCCCTTTCCCATCTGAGTCTAGTTCTGGAGTTCTGGTCAGCCAAGAGCCCACCTATCCAGACAGAACCCACACCCTTTTCAGGAACCTCAGCTGTGTAGTTCTTCTAGAGATGGGTTGAGGGGTTGTTTTTTGCTTTTGTTTTCCAATGCTAGGGATAGAGTCCAGGACTTGCGCTTACTAGGCAAGCGCTCGAACATTAAGCTAAATTCTCAGCCTTTCCGGGAAGACTGAAGCCTTTCCATTTCAGTTTAAAGGCCGCTTCGGTGCGTCCGAACTTTAGCAAGTGTGCGCGCGTCTGACAGTAGAACTCCCACGGCACGCCCGCAGGGGCCTCTCCTGGACACTCCTTCGCCATCTGGTGTGCAGTGTGCAGGCAGTGAGCCCGGAACCCGCACAGAGCTTCGTGCATTGAGCGATCTCTGCGGTTAGGCAAAGAAGGGCGTGCAGCGCCGTTTGGGTGACTTTGGCCCTGTCCCCTCTCCAATACACCTGTCTCCGCCTATAAACGTCCATTGTGAGAACCACCCTGCTTGAATTTCAGGGCTGTGATTGGTTCGCACTCGGATTTTGGATGGTTTAAATTCCATAAAACCCTGAAAGAACTCAAAGGAATAATAATAACGTTTATGGAAGCGCCACTTACAAGGCTTCCAGGTTGCCAAAGCAAAAGTAGGATTCACTACCATAGGTGAATGTTTGCAGAAACATTAAGCGCGACAACTGAGGTTTTGCGGGAGAGGCTCTGACACCCTAAGACTGAAAAATAAAACACATCAACTTTTTCACTTGGGAGCCCAAAACGGACGCGCCTGCCAATGTAGAACAGCTTTGAATAAGGCAAGGCTCTGCATAACGAAAAGGAAAGCGGCGGCGAGAACGACAGAACGACAAAAAGACCTCAGGTGTACGGGGAGCTTCACCTGGGGCTCAGGGGAGTGCGGGCAGTTTGCCAAATTTCTCTGGCCAGGGAGCTATCTCAGGAAGGGGTTCCCCCCAATAATTCTCATTTATTTGACTCTTAAATAAAGCGTTTTTATTTAAAACGCCTGTTTCTCGGACTTCTCGTGGGACCCAGGAGCTGTTTTTTAAGACTATGTAATCGACTGGCCTTCCACCTAGCTGCTCCTCAGGGGCCCGGTGTGGCTCTCCGGGGACTTAGAAGCCCTTGGGAGGTGCTGCAAATGTCCCTCCCACCGCCATGCGACTGAGGAAGGTACTCCTTTACGCCTTTTGCTTCACAGCCCGCCCCCCCACTTTTAAGCATTAGGCAGCTCCAAACTCCAACGGGAGAGACTTCTTAGAAGAAAGTGCTGTCTTCGGGATCGCAAGTTGGAGTTGATCCTCGAGGCTTGGGCACCAGCATCCAAGGGGCAGCAGAGCCCATCCGAGAGCAGCCTTCGGTGCCAGGACGCAGCTACCCCAGCGGCCCCACCGAGCGACGCGAGGGCGTCTGCCCTTTCTGCGCGCTCACAGGGGTGCGCAGAGAGGCACACCCACTCTTGCTCCCCGGGAAGGCTCCCTCTTCGGTTTACCAGGGCCAAAGGCCAAGCCTACGCGGATTCCTGAGCCCGCGGACACAGTATAGAGACTCACTACCCGATTCCTTTTTTATCGGCTAGACGGTGGACGGGGAACCCAAATCCCTCTCTTCGTGGCCAAGCCTTTCTTAGCAGGTTTTAGGAGAAATGCTGAGGCCACCGGACCCCAAAGGGTAGGAAAGTGCTGAGTTCGTCACGGGCCGAGGTCGCATCCTCCCTCCTGGGCCGGTGCTGCGTGGGTCTCCACCTTTGTGGGGGCAGTGGGCACGGGCCAAGCCCTTGGGGGAGGGGAACGGCAGCTGCAGGCGCGGATAACCCCAAAGTGACCCGGGCGGGCCTAGCCCGCCCCTCCCTCCTCCCGCGGGGTTGGCGGCGGGAAGAGGGTCCCTGAGCCGCAGGGGGCAGAGGGAGGCTCGGCTCCGGGCCCGCGGCTGTCAGTGAACTCCCGCCGGCCGGGGGCGCCGCGGGCTCCGGGTTTCTCGCTGGTCTCCAGCGCTCGAAGGAGCGCTCCGAGTGCCTCTTTAGCGAGAGCCAATATCCTTTTGTGCTAATAGGTTTGTCCTCATTTGCTGCCTAATTGGACTATATAAAGCCAATAACAGGCGGGCTCTTATAGCCCGAAGCCAAAGCGCCAAAATCCGAGAGAAAGTGAGGAGGGGGTGGCGGCGGAGGCGGCTGCCCGGCCGGAGCTCGGCTGCGCCTTCGTCTGTCTAATCCCATTTGCCATTGTACGCGCCCAATCGCCGTATACTCCCCGCATTTAACTTGGATGACATTTTGATTTCATCATTAGCATCCGGCGCCGGATTGACGCAGCCCCAAGCCGGGGACTGCTCTTGCTGCCTCCTCCCCGGGAGCGCAGCCGCCGCCGAGCCGCCTCGCTCCCTCCGAGCCGCGGCCAGGTCGCTCCCCGCCCCTGGGGACCCCTCCCCCATGCGAGCCCGCCCCGGCCTGGTCCTCACCCCGCCCTCCCGCGGCTCGGTTTGCGCCCGGGGCGGCCCCCGACTTTGCGCCCCGTAGTTGAGTCCCGTTTATGTTCTGATTTCCGGCCGTTCGCCTGCTCCCCCGGCCGCCCGCCTGTCCCGCTCGCTCCCTCCCGGGACCCGGAGGAGAGGGGACCATGCCGGAGCCCGGGCCGGAAGCTTCGGGCACCGCCAGCGCTCAGCCCCCGCCGCCGCCGCCGCCCCTGCCTCCTGCGCCCAAGGAGTCCCCATTCTCCATCAAGAACCTGCTCAACGG